GAGAAATCATTTGAATGTTTAAATAAAATGATCTCAAGATTGGATCAGATAATGGCGACAATGGTTGACACTATTACTGATAATAAAGTGAAGATTGAATGCAACGCTAGTCCGCAGCAAATGGTCACCACTTATGAGGGTTTGAATGAAACCAAAGACAAACACACATCACATGAAACGGACACCAAATCAGTACTCAAATCAAATATTGTGTCAAATAATAGGTATAAATGTGTGGCCGAAGACTGCGGTTACTTATCCACTGACAAGACATCTCTTGAGCAACACATGGAAATGGATCACAAGAATGAATGCCTATTCAAATGCAATCATTACTCGTGCGATGCGATGGTTAGGACACCGGAAGCACTCAGGGATCACATCAATGACAGGCATTCACTCAAAGGGTTAAAGAGTTTTGAATGCGATTACAGTGGCTGTGGCCGAGTGTTTGACCGGAAGTACACTTTGGAGAAACACTGGTTCACACACTCTGTGGACAAACCACTGAAGTGTTCAGTCAATGGATGCCATTATCAGTGCATACGAAAGCGTCAAATGCAATGTCACACGAATGGACACATCAGACACAACACAATCATGTAATTTTAGACATCATTTAATGGTTCATACAATAGATTAAACCACATTTCGAAAGACATGGGATCTATTTGTTGAAATCAATAAAAACATTTAATATATTTATATTATACCAAATAACTGAATACTAAATTTGAATGTTAAAAACTTTTATTGTACAAATGACAATCACTAGTTACTAATTTGCAGTATTAATTATCATGTATTAAAAAAATGTAAAATAAACTCCTTACGATATTAATTAAACACCATGTTAAATATTACATTAAAGGTAATGATAATCGTAACCAACTATACGTTAATGATTTTATCAGCGATTAACCGTTTTTTCAGTGCGATATACGTAGTGAGAGAGGTCTCCGAAATAGTTACTGCCGTTCGCTCGGATATAGGGAATGCCTCGCGAGTGCTCTCATCAGTGAATACCAACACCATTACCAACTGGTATACCATCACAAACTCTTTCAGCTCCCGGAGCATAAACTCCCATGAATTACACACTCCTTGGCTATACTCCCCACCGGACAGTACATCCATTTCCTTGATATACGAGTCGATGAACGCCTTCATAGCCGACTCCAGAGCCGGCCTGAATGTGGCAAACGGTTTAAAACGAAAAGTAATTTAAACAAACATTTGAAAACACATTCCGGTTGACACATACACCTATTAAGGATTTTGGGAATGGGATGTCATTATAATAGCATTTTATCATAATTAAGTCTTAATGTGTTACCTATGTAGAAAATGAATGTAAATTTAATTACTGTTGCCTTTCAAAAACACTAATATCTTATACTGTATTTGTATATAATTTAAAGTAATAATTTATATAAAATTTATCTTAAAATACAAGTACCGGTACATTAATGTATTTATCATTTAATAGTACTGTAAGTAATACATTGAACATTTAAAAGTAATATTCTGTTTAATAATAGTCATGAATATAAGACATGTTTTAATAGCTTAAGAATGTTTATGTAAAACATTAATTTATTTGTTAAAACATCTTATGTTGTATAATAAAAATAAAAAAATTTTAAATTAGCAAACATTTGCTGCTTATAGCAACAAATATGAACCAGTTGAAAATTTACTAAATACTTATAGTTTAAATTATAAAACATATTTTGTTTAAATCACTAATTCGTGATATTATTGCCATAAAACCTTTTAAATCATAAAATAAAACTAATTTTAAAAAATATCTCTTAAAAACTCAATTCATTGACACAATTAACCAGTGAGTGGTGTAACAGTCTTACCATCAAAATGAGAATAACTATAATAATCATTGTAGTCACCGGACTATTTCTGGGCACAGGTATGCGAACATAATTTAAATAAATATATACTAATGATATACCGGAAAATTATGATAATCCACAGTCAATTCAATACCACATAAGCTTGGTATTGAGCCAGCTCATGAACCCATGGAAGCAGTTCATCTAGCACACCATGGCGGTGGTCCAGGCCAATTGAAAGTGGATGTGGCACCTGTAGCTAATCACAATGAGCCGGTAATGGTGAACGAACGTGGAAAGGGCTTTTGGGGTGGTGTATGGGGTGCTATAACATCCCTGCCCATTTTCACACTATTTGGCTGATTGTAGTGACATATTATTATATTTAGATATTTGTTATTAAATTACATTTGTTGTGATATTTCATTATAATTTATTTTATATTATTTGTTTATTAAGAGATATTAATTTTATTATAATTTTTGTGTAGACCTTAGCCCTTATAATTTGAAAATTAATCCAGATATTACTGTACTAACAATTAAAGGTATTTAGCAATTATGTATATTTATTTTTAAAACTATACCGGTAACATTTAATGTGGTTTAGTGGTACAGAATTGTATAATGAATTCTGTTGCAATACAAAGTGTTGCAAATATGAGTCCAACAAATAGTAATATTAAAACTCCGTTTAAATCACTGTTTGTTACGGACTTGAGTTGTGGCTCATCCTTAGGCTTCTCATATATTTCAGATCCAAATCCTTTAGGTTTTAGTGATTTTCTCACTTCATAGTCATAAATACCGCTCACCTGCAGGCGACTAATACTATAAATACAGAATATTCTGTTAATTATTTATGATATTTTTTAGCAAGGATCTATTAATATTCATACATTGTGTTCAATCCATGCGTAAACTTCTCGTCCAATCTCTCGTTATTGATTTCCAAGAAGTAGACCATAGGATCTTCATCTGAATCGGATATATAAAAGTCCTGTCCCTCCATATATCCACCAAAATCTTTAGCATATATTCCCTCGAGTTTTCTCCACATATAATAGGCGTTGAGCTCCGCGATCACAAACACATCGTTGCTGTCAAATACCCTCAAAAGGGTCTCCCTTTGCATCGATATATTGCTTATGAAGAATGCCGGGTCCGCAAAATCCAGCCTTTTCTCAAACTCGAGGGCCATTTCATTGTCATTCAGAATAAATGAATTAAATTCCATGCCATAAGTCATTATCTTGGAGTGCTTCCAGTGATCTTTAAATTGAAGATCATATCTGTTTTCAATTTTATCCCACTTTTGTCCACTCATTATAGTGTCGTACAAACTGCTAGAATAGAGGGATAGGAGTATTGTGCACACCATTAGCCAAATGCCATCAAAGAATATATCAAATAATATAAGCTTTGTTTGCATTGCGAAACAATCAGATAATATGACTGAAGAATATCTCCAAATAGTTGCCAAACAACAAGTCATTGATCGGTATTTTATGCCAAATGTGATGCCAATGGCCACCAAAGAGATGGCAATCCATATGTAAATATAATGATCCCAACACATGATGAACTCAAACAGTGGACGTTTCACTGGTTGTCAGCAAATTAATAAATAATAAATACAAAATTAATAATCTTAATATTTTCAAATGACCTTTGTTATAGCTTACCCAGAAATGTCTTACTGACAAAGACATCACCACCAATTGATCCGATGTAACGGCTGATGTTGTAGCCATAGGATGAAACAATTTGCGCTGGACCATTTGGTTTATAGACATAAAGCAGTAAATGTGGAAAAAGTGGAGCGTTAATAGTGAACCTGGTGAAGTGTTCGTCAAAATTCTTAACGTGTCTATGCAAAATAAAACTACTCATAAGAATAGTAAATTAATATGCCCGTGATAACTATTAATATACAATACTGATAAAGTAATAAATATAATTTAATACTTAATATTCATGTATTGAGCGAATGTCCGCAACAGTACTAGAAATGGACCGCAATATTGATAATATAGTTCAATGGTATTGTCCTCAAGAGTTACTTCCCATTCATTGTATGTCAAAAGCGGCGGGAATTCAAGGGTTAGAGTATCTAAAGGACTGTCCGTTGAATTAATAGCCCAATCGGTCATATTTGAGGTGAGAGTTACACAACTTTTGTTAGTCTTATATTTAGACATAATTCATATTCATAAATAGTTTGCTTTGTCAAATTGGTAGCAAAAATGGTTTGAAATTAGTATATTATTATTAAAGCAAATAGCAATATAAATGATAATGAAAAGTAAATAAAATGATTGTTATATAAACTTTAATTTTCTTTTTAATGTCTATTAGTGTTGATTTTATCATTTAGAGATATTTATATTTTAATAGTATATACTGTATTTTAAAAATTTTCCAAAAGTATCTTTTAGTGAAATGATCATTAGATAATTACAAATTCATTATGGAATATTATATTACTATTAGTATAATACTTAACATTAAATCATTTTATAAATATAATACCGGTACATACGAATATGTTATTAAATAGATATACAGGTATAGAACTGTTTGTTTGCTAATAATTTAATATAATGTATTACCGTAAATGTTATTTTGAAAAAACATTATTATTATTATTATATAAACTAGTAGTAGTGTCATATTTTGGTTAAATTTGTTAAACATTGAAACTTTCTGGCAATTAAAACACAAATATTAAATGTTTTTCTGCAAACACATAATATTAATGTAAGATGTCAATATTATGGAATAATTTCATGACATTAGAAATATTTGGTAAATAATTATTATCAAAATGAAAATGAAAAATTTTAGATTTCATATTATTAATTTTTAAAACTTATTCTAAAAAGTAATAAAAGCACGGAATATATGGTTTCAATGTTAGTAAGCTCAACTAAATTATAATTAAATTTTTATAAGTTATATAGAGCCGTGAAATATTTCATAAAGCATAAACATATTAAGTTAATAAGTAGCAAGGTAATCAGTTTATTCATGCATTATATACTTGTAATGTGAAAGTAACAAGGTTTCCATTAAGAATTATGTTTAATAATTTTGAAATTCATTAATTATTGAAAATATTACTTTATATGAATATATCTCTAATAATTAAATTAAATATCTATGAATACAACCAATGTAAAACAGTAGTATGTTTAACATAATATTTTCATATAAAATAAACAACCAAAAGTTAATTATAACTTATTATATATTTACAAAATTAGTAAATAATATGAAAACAGTCTATTGCTAACATAACTAGCATATTGATCAATTAAATATTTGAAGCTTTAAACATATTTATAATTTAGTTTTTACAATAAAATTATTGTCAAATCGAATAACATTTTATTAGTAAACATAACATGTCATCGACAATAGGAAAGGTATGTTTTAAAAAAATAATTTTAAAGTCCTATTTATAAAATAATATTAAAATAAATTACTATTATCTGACTTTTTAGAGCTATTTTTATACACACTATTCGTTATTTTTACGTTTTTATACACATGTTTATACAGCGCTGTATGTAACCAGGTCCTTTTTACACACTCTCATATTGTTAACCCTTTTACAGCTGTTTTATGCACACTTATAATACCAGTATTATTATTATTATTATTTAACTTGAAACTGGACTTAAAACTACAAAAACATTTTCATCAAAACTTTATTTATTGCACACATTTATTGAACAATTATTTTATTGTAGTTTTACATTACATTAAATTAAACGTATACTTTATAAATTTTCATTTAATTAATTAATTACTTAATTAAGCTTTGAAATTAAATAAATTCTTATTCTAAAATACAGAATATATTGAATTAATTTTATATTAAACAATTTTCATAATCATATCATTGTATATACAGTAGTTATAAATTATAACTTATAATAAATGATAAAATATTACAAAATTAGATATGCTATTATGATATAATATAATGGGTTCAGTGTACATTAAAACATTAGATAACATTATTGGGGGCATAGCTCAGTGGTAGAGCATTCGACTGCAGATCGAGAGGTCCTTGGTTCAAACCCGAGTGCCCCCTTCACTTTTATTTTTTAATTTTATTTATTATATTTAGTTTTCTATTTTTAAGTTATATAAACTGTACTGTAATTATTTTTATACTAGAGATGTCAGACAAAATATTAAATTTAATTTATAATAAAAACTTCAAAATATAATCATGAATATTCTGCCTTGAAAAATCAATTCTGAATTTATCAAAATAAATTAATTTGAACGAATACTATTATAATATTTAATTTATGCCTTGATGAATACATACATTTAATACCTAGGTGATTACATGCCAGGCGGCAATCATGCATAAGCCACACGAGGACCTGGCTATTAAGACAGTGACCGTTGACCCGCCACTGACCGGTGAAATACGAGTCAAACTGATCTCGGCCAGTCTATGCGCCTCAGACATGGCATTCATAAATGAGAAAAATATTGCCATATCTAATAACAGAATACTGATCCCTGGCCCTAAACTTCTAGGCCATGAGGGGGCCGGTATTGTCGAGTCAATAGGTTCAGGGGTGACCAGTGTAGCGGTGGGCGATCACGTGATCCCCCTATTTATGCATAACTGTGACCAATGTTTCCTATGCGCACATTGTAATAAATTTGTAATTGTTATCTAATTGTTATCTAATTGTTATCTAATTGTAATCTAATGATCATTTCACTAAAAGATACTTTTGGAAAATTTTAAAAATACTGTATGTACTATACAAATATAAATATCTCTAAATGATAAAATCAACACTAATAAACATTAAAAAGAAAATTAAAGTTTATATAACTATTATTTAATTTTTATATTCTGTTTAATAATTCATAATTGTATATTATATATAGTAAACACTGTGCAAGTAAATAATTGTGAGAATAATTGTTAAAACAGTATGCTGTTATGATAACAATAGATGTGTCATCATGGTTATCTTAGTGATGGCCAAATTTAATGTATGCCACTGTATACATGTCATGTAAACCTAACATATGATGGGATATGTAAACTGATCAAGGACTTATAGTAACAAGAATTCCGCGATTTATCACTATTATAACCATTTAGGGGGTCATATCTTATGCACTAATATATGGTACAAACATATTAAATGTTTTACTGATTACTAGTAACTAACCACACACTCAATGCTGTATTAAAGCATTAGCGATTGGACAACATATAATAAAAGTAGTTTAATATCTAGATTCATTTTTATTATACTTTTAATTTATTTAGTTAATAATATTTATAAAACCAAAATGTTTGTCCAAATATTGATAACCCTATTATGTGTGCCAAACCTGTGGGCACTGGACGACGGTCTGGCGCTCACACCACCCATGGGTTGGCTATCGTGGGAGCGGTTCGCCTGTCAAACAGATT